AAACAGCATATGCTGGTTAGGTATGTTTTGAAGCATGGCAGCTGGTTTGAGCTGGTTTAAACTGGTCCTTAGTTGGTCATGAGCTGGTTTAAGCTGGTCCTGAGCTGGTTATGAGCTGGTCCTGAGAATGAGCTGGTTGCTTAGGACCAGCTTAAACCAGCTCATGACCAACTAAGGACCAGTTTAAACCAGCTCAAACCAGCTGCCATGCTTCAAAACATACCTAACCAGCATATACATTTTCTTTTAACAGGGGTATTAATGAGGTTACTTTTTATGATGATTTTTGTCATTTTTTGGCCTCAACAATATTAGTTCCCATTCATTATATGGAAAACTTAAACTCAGACATTCTTCAAAATTACTACTTTTATGTTTTCCTGTTGAAGAAAGTCATTCAGGTTTAAAATGAGAGTGAGTAAATGATGACAGAATTGTAATTTTTAGGTCAAACCCTAGGCTAGGCTCATATTTTATGTTTATTTTTTAATAATTATTTTTATAATTTTTATAATTTATTTCTTATTTATTTTTACATTATATTTCTTATTATAAAATAATATATAATATACACTACCAGTCAAGAGTTAAGATTTTGAACATTTATTATGTTTTTAAAGAAGTCTCTTCTGCTCACCAAGCCTGCATTTATTTGATCCAAAGAACAGCAAAAACAGTAAAATTTTGAAATGTTTTTAGTATTTAAAATAACTGTTTTCTATTTGAATATATTTCAAAATGTAATATCGAAAACAGTAGAATTTTTTCAGGTTTCTTTGATGAATAGAAAGTTCAGAAGAACAGCATTTATCTGAAATAGAAATCATGTTTTGAAAATTAGTGTGCTTTTTGTTTTGTTTATAGAAATCTTACTGGCTTTCTGCAAGGGAAGAGCCCCTTCAATTTCCCCAGTACATTAAACTGAAACAAGTCTCCAATAATGTTGTTTTAGTAATAACCTGATTCATTTTTCTTGGAATAGGGTGAATATGTCAGAGTACAGTTAATCTGAGTTTATAATCCAGATGGTAGGGTGGACAGAGGGCTGTTCGTTTGTTCCAAATCCTTCATCAGTTAATTAAAGACCTGGGGCTTTTGACTGAGCAATTAGCCTGGATATTACAGTGCAGGTTTAACAAAGTGAATAGCAGAGGTGTGTGAGTATATGCCAGATACACGCAGCTGGTATGTCTGTAAGTAATCACACAGCAGGGATCATTTAAAAGAGCAGGACACCAAACCACGTACACAGCTCACGCACATCTGAAAGCTGAGGGCAAACATTCCAGAGCTGTGTAAACCTCTGGGCCGAGTGACGTAATAATTCAGCTCTGCCCACGTCACTGATGCCGTGGAGTTGCATCAGCTGTCTTACTGGTCTCGCTGTGTTAAGGGGTGCTAGATTTTTCTTTCTACATCTCTTTTTTCTCATCTTTCTTTCAGTCTCACTTCATCTCATTTTGTCTTTCAGTTGACTTTTGTAAATACGATTCTGTGGTTTATGGAGACAAATAGATGATTACTCTCACGATGTTTGGGTTATTTTAGGACTGCTTCACCCTAGAAAATCATGCTGTGCCCACATTAAACACTGTTCTCACGTCCCCAGAAGAGATGTACTGCCTGTGTTATTAGTATTAAACTTACAGTAGGTGCACAACTTACTTTTCTAATCAAAAAAATTAGTGATCAAATAATACAATTTTTTTTTTTTTTTTTTTTAAAGTTATACTTTTATTCAGCAAGGACTTGATCAAAAGTGGCAGTAAAGACATGTATGATGTTTCAAAAGATTTCAAATAAATGTTTTACTTTTAAACTTTCTATTCATCAAGGAATCTTGGTAAAAAAAATCTTATTTTCCACAAAAATGTTAAACAGCTCAACAGTTTTCAACATTGAAGTGAATGTTTTTTTTTTTGAGCAACAAATCAGCACATTATAATTATTTCTAATGTAACGTGACACTAAAGAGTAAGTGGAATAAGGAATACATTGCATTTGAAAATATATTAAAATAGGTAACAGTTATTTTAAATTGAAATAATTATTTAACTGTTTTAATGTATTTTTAAAGAAATAAATGGTCAGCATGAGAGTCTAAGAATGGATACTCTACAAGAGCCATATCTAAAGACCAGAATATCATAGAGACTTGTGGGTAGGCTTTATTGAAATGGGCTAGTAAGCAAAGACCTATCATCCTTCCAGAACAGAGCGACTGCATAGCAACATTCTGACAACCGGCCACAATAATCTTACATTTTCTTCTGATAATATACAATTTTAATCCCTCTTGCTCTAAATCTCTTTCTTTCCACCTCTTTCTCTAATCCATTCCTAGTCACACTCAAATTTTCGCTGCCGTTGAATCCCATGACAGAGAGGGATGAACCAGTCTTAATAACAGTAATTTATGGACACTTAGGCTGTTTTTCATGAACATCGATGTGTCGCTGCAGCACTTCTAATAAGTGCTTTTCACAGACACAGAGCTAAATCAGTTCCTGACAACACCACATCACGTCACGACAAATGCAGCGCTCATGCTTTTTTGCATGTGACTGTACGAAGTCACGCAGACATAATGAGAACAGATGAGCATGTCCCAGCCTCTTTTTGAGAACGTGGAACATTGTTACGTCAGCAGGGAGGCAATGTTATTACTCTTTGGAATTGTGTGTCTGTACTAGCGAGTTTAGTCTCAATGCACAATTGAAAGCAGGCTGCGTGGAGTATTTAATCCATGAATAAACTTCTCATTATTCAAGAAACTTAAGCTATGACCCAGTTGGCAAAGCTGTTTCTTCCCCAGTGTGTTTAGGAGCTGGCAGACATCGGAGAAAACAAATTCTGTTTGTGTTTTTCAGACCCGGTTGAAAGTCGTCACATGTTCCGGCGCAGCGTAAACGCAGCTGCTATTATGCATTTAAATATGCGACAATGGGACCTGTTGCGGTTAACTCAATTGACTCAGCCCAAAGCCTTGAACTCCTCCGGCCAATCACGTGTAACCATTTATCTGGTTAGACCAGTGTCTGTCTGATTAGCGCAGTGCATGAAGGACAGGCTGGTTCTCCATTCAGCATCTTGGCACAGACCTCTGCCCCCATCATAGGTCCGCTTCCCATTTCATGAGGCATTCCCATATTTAAGGTTCACTGTTTTTTTGAATTAGGGAGCCCGATGAATTACCTTTTCAGCCCTTCGAGTGCCCTGGCGAGTTTGAGCCGAGGAGGCCCCACTGGTATAATGACGCTTGGCACAATCACCCTTCTGTTCCTCCAACCCTGTTCCCAGGAAACCACACAGCATGCACAATTGCGTACCGCGCTTTGCTGCCCAACCACATTGCTCTCGGCGTGGCTGCGCAGCAAACCGAGTAACGTGGCATCTCGCTGGATGAACCAGAGTTGATCTTCCCAGAGTTCACACCGATTAGTTTTCTGCTCGATTATTAATTCACATTTGCGGGGCGTAGCGAGGGAGCAGGAGAATAAAAAGGGAGAACTTGAGGTTATGCCAGCCCAGAGTTTCAAGCATGAAGAGAGCATGACTGTTATGTTAAGCTTCTCCTAATTAAAAGCAAAGGAATGAGAAGAAAGCTGTAAAAAAGCGAGATGAATGGACAAAGAGGGCCAGAACTGGTTCTGAGCTGGTCATAGCTGGTTCTGCTGGCTTTCATGGCCTTCCTCAATGGGCCCGCTGGTTTGGAGTGTAGGTTCCCTCCCCTCCTCTTTCCCCATACTTCTGTTTATGCTTTGTAGCTAATGTGATACTAGGGCTCCGTCCTTTCAGACCAGGATTGGGAATACCAGGGGGCCAAATGGGAGCCTGGAGAAGCATGTCAGCTTGTGCTTTCAGGACTCAGCACTCCAACAGGTCCATCATAAGCAGCCACAGGGAGTCAGGCACCAATGAAGGCAGGAAGAGACCACAAAAACAGCTATAGAGACATCAGGAGCCATATAGTGAAAGGAGGAAAGCGAGAACAACACCTCTCAGTAGAGTCAGGAAAGTGACGACTTATTCAGTTGTATGGTATCGGTGCAAAAGGTTACTGGTTGTTTTGCAGAGTTCATTTGGCAGTGGCAGAGGTTTGATGGAGCTGTTTTGTCATGCAAGATTTTTATATATATAGGCCTTAATTTTTGTTTAAAAAAACTCTTATTACAGCTATATAAATGTATTAGAGTTTTTAAATGTATTATTTATGTTTTTATTTTAACACCACGTCACGCCAGATGCCAGGTGTCAAAAAGTGTTTGTTGCAAATCCATTTTTCCATTGTGCCAGAAGTATTAAGCCCTAAACACATTGCATGATTTTCGGCTGTCCCAGACAAAAGATTGGCATCGTGAAACAATCGTGGCGATTTCTGTGATCGTGGCTCCTAATCGGTGGTCCTCTGTCGTACAGTGAGAGAGGTTCAAAGATGGCCGTTGTCACGGTCTCGCGACCAAAGATAGCCTACGATACAGCATGATCATCGCACAGTGTGTTTGCTGGTACGATCCACGTTTACTGACCAACCAATAAAAATGCGACATGAAATCAACGCGACATGGCGCTAAAACATAAAACTGCTTACCTCAAGCTCTTATCCCTTCCTCTTTCACCGCTTCCACTTTTTTTTCAGCACACATAAAAGTACAACTGCTAATGTGTGATTTATCATGCTCTTTTTGTTTACCACTAGCGCATGCTGATGATGTTTTATTCTACTATAGTAACGTGCTTCGTATCGTATGTGTGTTTAACTAACTTGAAAAATTATCTTCAAACTCTTCAAATTTCAGAAAGCAACAATCTGAAATTGAACTTGTGTAGATGTTCATGTACCTACGTAGAGTGTGTTTCAGGCATTGAGGTTCACATCATATCCTATTTCAAGGTCTTACATAATACTTCACTGCTCCATTTTACACAGATGAACATATCACGTGTCCTTTAAACAAGCTGGGGTTAATATGCACTGTTTTTGCATCCTTTTCTTATAGGGAAACAAGGGACAGACACAAAGTTTCTCTATAGATCTTCCTCTCTCACACACGCACACTTGAAGACCGAGAATAATCGCTCTGAAAGCATGGAGCCCGCCGAGATGAACACTATCCCCAACGGGAAGGGGCACGGAGCTGGCGAGGAGACTACTGTGACTGCAATAAAAAGCCAATCAGAAGATGCAGCTCAGTAAGTATTCGCTCAAGGGTGCAATATAATTTCTGTCTGGTTAAGGATGGTTTATTGTCAGTCATCCAATGTGTATAGATTTAGTAATACAGTTTCAGTTGGTATCAGCTTTATCATTGAATCTATCCTTCAGTCTATCTTAGGGGTGCCTTAAGCTTTATATACGTTTAGTGCATATATACAGTATGTGTGAACATTAGTTTGTGTTTTTGCAGTATCTTCCAGCTAGCATTAAAGCATCCAGTCAGTCATCTTAATAAGGTGAAGCCTGTCTGTCATCACAGTCCTAAATGTCACTGAACAGCACAGTTCAGACATCACTGAGCACATTCAGTAGCACTGATGTTATGCTCTCATGTTCAAAGCTCCAACATGTCTGTGATTGTGTAGATGTTTTTGTGCAAATTAATGTGTATGGGTGTTTCTTCAACTACAGGAACTTTTTATGTGACAACAATAGATTTTTGATTACAACTAACTTTGTTCTTTTGGTTATATTAAAGGGTTAGTTCACCCAAAAATTTAAATTCTGTCAATAATGACCCTCATGTCGTTCCAAACCTGTAAGACCCTCGTTCATCTTCGGAACACAAATGAAGATATTTTTGATGAAATCCGAGAGCTTCCTAACTCTGCATAGACAGCAATGTGAACGTGTCAGTTGCGTTGCTGTCTATGCACAGCCAGAAAGCTCTTGGATTTCATAAAGAATATCTTAATTTGTGTTCCGAAGATGAACGAAGGTCTTACGGGTTTGAAACGACATGAGGGTGAGTAATTAATGAAAGAATTTTCATTTTTGGGCGAAGTATCCCTTTAAGGTCACATTAAAATACTAATGCCTTTAATATATAGATTTAATTGTTTTACCCTTTTCTCAGACCCAGACAATAAATCTTTCAATATGAAAATCATCATAAAAACATTATCTGTTATTAACTGTTTAAAACTTTGATGATCTACACATTGAATGAAATTATTTCAACATCTATTTTGTTAAAATAATTTATTTAATTAAAATTTAAAATTATATTTTAACATTTAATTGCATTTAAATTAGATTTTTACACAAATTAATACAGTCCCACAATTATGCCATCATTTCTGTTAGAGTATAACGAAAATGTTTAAACTAATAGTTTTTTTAAATTTAATGTACTTCTTCACAAAGAAGACAACAGTGAAGAGCAGGCTTGAGATGGTAAACCAATAACTTCAGGGTATAGGCTACATCAAGGTAAACACTGGGAAAAGATTCAGCTGTAATTGTGTCAGATTGTGCAAAATGTGTGACAGTATCATTCATTTGTGTGTATTTAAGATACTTAGAATGCTGGCTGCGTAATTTGAATGGTCCTGTGATGTGTGTTGCTAGTAGGAAATATACTGTATATATATATATA